CGCTGCGCATTTCCGCTGCGCATTTCCGCTGCGCATTTTCGCTGCGCTTCTCCTCGCCAGGGTCGTCCCGGAGCCTCTCCCGGCCGTCTTCGGGCGGTCGGCGAGGCGCGCTCACGCTCGCGCCCCGGGACGATTTCGAGTGCTCTGTGAACGTGCCGTCCGTGTCTTTGGAACGCGGGAGCAAAGCGCAGCACCCGCAGAAAAGCCGCGCCGGCGCGGACGACCGAAGGACGCGGATTCCAATCAACCCCGCTTCCAGGAGGTAGCAGCCGTCATTTTTGTGCTCTGTCATACGTTGCCCCCCACAAAAAAAAAAAAAAAGCTACCTTGTCTGTCGGCGTCCCGAGGCTCGTCCGCGGCGGGAACACCGGAGGGCAGAGAGGAGATGTGCACGTTCTCGGGCGGGAGCTGCCCCGCCCCGGCTGGAAGCACAAAGGCAAGACGTCGGAGGGACGTGACGGTCAACGTTGCGCTTTCGGTGGTCCCCGTCGCGGCAGGAGATCGAAAGCCGCACGCCTCCGTCAAAACGCAGCACTTTTCCATCCGCTTCGGCCCAACGCCGCTTCGCGAACCACACGGAGCGCGACCCTTTGCGCCGCGGAGCCCATCGAGGAACACGTGACGAGAAACTGAGCGGCCGGGCCAGTTTCCTTGTCGCCGCCGGGTCGCGGGGGAGCCATTTTTCCAGCAGGCTCCTCACGCGGTGACGTCTGCTAAAAGTAGCCTTGCTTGCAAAGCCGAGTCTTTGGCGAGTCTTTGGCGTACGAGCGTTCGCGGATGCCGTTCTGGTGCCCTTTTGTTCCAATTTAATCATCTGTCGACTTTCTTTTTTGTTTTTTTAAACGGTAATGTTGCCGTTTGAGTTTGAAAGGATGTCAAGAGTCTCGGGAGGATCACTTGTGCCATGTTGACATTTGAAACGATTCATATCGGTACCTGTAAACATTTTGGATTTAGATTTTTTTCTTCACTCTTTGCAAACAGCAGAGTTTGACTGTCCGGCGCTCATCCGTAGAATTGGGCTTGGCTACTTCTGGATTGTCACCTATTGAGACTTTCTTTTTTGTTTTTTTAAACGGTAATGTTGCCGTTTGAGTTTGAAAGGATGTCAAGAGTCTCGGGAGGATCACTTGTGCCATGTTGACATTTGAAACGATTCATATGGGTACCTGTAAACATTTTGGATTTAGATTTTTTTTCTCCACTCTTTGCAAACAGCACAGTTTGACTGTCCGGCGCTCATCCGCAGAGTTGGGCTTGGCTACTTCTGGATTGTCACCTATTGAGCTTTCTTTGGGCTGTTGGGGGGAGTCTCATTCATTTTTGTGCATGCAAACACTTTGGTTTTTCTTCTTTCA